TTGCTGGCTCATGTTTTGGGGCCACTGGGTCAGGGGCAGTGACTGCTGGCTCTGGGCTGGCACACTTGGAGCTAGTACAGGCACTGTGGCCAGAGTCAACCCCTTTAAAGACTCCGGGGAGGGGGGAGGGAGAGGAGTGTTCTTGGTTGAGGCTGAAGTGGCCACCAGGGCACCCTGGGAAGGCTGGAGGCCTCCTATTTCGAAATAAGTGTCTATATTGCGCTTATTTCAAATTTGGCATTATTCCTCATAGAATGAGGTTTACTAAATTCGAAATAAGTGCTCCGCTATTTCGAATTTATTTCGAAATAGCGGTTTGCCTGTATAGATGCTATTAAAGTTAATTTGAAATAACGACTGTTATTTTGAATTAACTTTGATGTGTAGACATACCCTTACATCCCTAGTGTGGACTCTGATTTGTGAAAGTGTGCTTGTCAGAAGGGGAATGTCTTGCTCTGGGGGAATTTTCATTTTATCCAGTGGCCTTTCATAGCTCTTTACTTCATGTTTACAGGCCTCTGAGAGGAAACTGAAAGAGAACTCCCCCAAAGAACCCAGTCTGCATGACCTGCTCATGATGGAAATAAAACAGCCGCGGAAGCTTCGGCCATCTTCTACAGAGAGAAATTGGAGCAAGCACAAAGGTACCTAGTGGCACTGCTGGGCATCCAGTAGCAATAGGCATACAACTTATGGAGTATGAGTTGGTCGTGGGTCAAGTAAGGGATCCAAAAGAGCTTTGCATCAGTTTTCTGAGGCACCAGCATTGTGCTATATAACTAATATACAGATTAGTACAACTGGAAGGATTATCTAGTTGAGTCCCCTGAATCTCTGCCTTACATCACCTACTAGGGCCCATTTGCCTGGGCTGGAGTGTCTCCTCTTCTAAGAAAGATGAATAAAAGGCTCAACTCCTGAGAGATTAAAAGGAGACACAGGGCTGCTGAGCCATCACCACTTCCAAGAGCTCCAGTGTGGGATTTTGGGCATCTGTCATCGGTGTCTTGCATCTACATAGCACTTATATTTCAGGTGTTGGGTTTTTTTTTTCTTTAGATACCTTTGTGATGCCAATACTTTCATTGAATTCCACTTGTGGCAATGTCTTCTCCATCCGGAATGCTATTACAGAAATTACGATTCACAGAGTTAGAAAACAGCTGCTGGTCCCTAGCTTGCTGGCCTCAGAATTTCAGGTAAGCCGTTTTAAAAGAAATTTCACTTTAGAGAATAAATGGAGTACCTATCAATTCACCTGAAGCCTGCCTATCCTGCAGCAATCCAAACTTTCGGTGTGTTTAAAAAGAAATACAATCACTTATGTGGTGTAGCTGGAGCTTAAAACTGAGGTTCTCACTGCTCTCAATGTAAATTCCATGACTTTTTTTTCATAAAAGGTGGGACCTACATAGCCAGTGTCAGCCAAAATGCCTTGGGCTCCTCTGTCACTACTCTTCACTTCCAAGGTGTCTGCATTTCATGTATTATGGAATGCAGTGACTATCTTATCTCAAGTCAATCATTCAGTCTCCCCTGCTTGTGGAATTTCTGAGCAAGTAACAGTCCCTCTGCTGCTGCTGTTTTTGTCCTCTGCCTGCTACAGAAGGGGCTACATCACATTTGTGTGTCAAGGAGGTCATCTGGGCTTCTCTCCCTAATTCAGTGAACGACCCGTGGCTTTTCTTTGTACAGGGAGCAGGGAACACGGCTGTGGCCTGACGCGGTCTTTCATGGCTGGCATGCCAAAACGTCAGCATTGGGCTCCCCTTCCAGATGGGAGCCAGGTGCTTTCCTTGCCACCCTTTGCTCCCCTCAGACTCCAGCATGGCTGTCCTGTGACTCAGAAGGGCACTCAGAACAGGGCTTGAGGAGACGCTGTGCAACATCTCCCTCTCAAATTGGCTTCTCTTTAGTCTTTAACTGAGCTCTCCTTTTGCCTAGGACTCCTTTCCTACACGGTGGGCATCGCCAACTATTGCGGAACTGATTGGAACCAGATACGCTATGGTGGTGTCTGAAATGGAAGGCTCCTGCCAAAGAGATGGTCCCAATGGATCTTCAAGGGCCAGGGTATTTTCAGCATTCCCCTTTGATTTATTGTCCTTTCTTTCTGAAGCATCTGTTGACTCATGCCCTCCTGTTCCTGGGAATAAAATGTTCCTGGCAGGTAAATAGGTCCAAGTGGCTTCACTTGAAGATCAGTATAAAATAGGATTGAGTCCTTCCATAGTCCACACTGCTCAATGTTCTATTTCTAACTATGTTTAATTTGCACAATGAACCTAAACCAGGGTGGGCAATTTTTAATTGGGGTGGGCACTCCAAGATTTTGGCAAGTGGTCAAGAGCCACACTTAAAAGCAAGAGGAAGACCAAGGACAGGGTAGGCCCACTGCTCAGTGAGGAGGGAGAAACAATATCAGGAAACTTTGAAAGAGCAGAGGTGCCTAATAACTTCTTTGTTTCGGTCTTCACCAAGAAGTCTGAAGGAATGCCTAACATAGTGAATGCTAGTGGGAAGGGGGCAGGTTTAGAAGATAAAATAAGAACAAGTTAAAAATCACTTAGAAAAGTTAGATGTCTGCTCCTCCATGAGGATCTGATGAAATGCATCCTAGAATATTCAAGGAGCTGATAGCTAAAGGCTCAGAGGAGTGATCATCTTTGAAAAATCATGCAAGATGGGAGAGATTCCAGAAGACTGGAAGAGGGCAAATATAGTGCCCATTTATAAAAAGGGAAATAAGAACAACCCAGGAAACTACAGACCAGTCACTTTAACTTCTGTGCCAGGGAAGATAATGGAGCAAGTAATTAAGGAATTCATCTGCAAACACTTGGAAGATAAGATGATAGGTAACAGCATGAATTTGTAAAGAACAAATCATGTCAAACCAATCTGATAGCTTTCTTTGATAGGATAATGAGCCTTGTGGATAAGGGAGAAGCAGTGGATGTGATATACTTTAGTAAGGCATTAGATACAGTCTTGCATGATCTTATCAAACTAGGCAAATCCAACTTAGATGGGAGGGGCTACTATAAGGTGGATGCATAACTGGCTGGGTAACCGTTTTCAGAGTAGTTCACCATCCTGCCAGAAGGGCATAACAAGTGGCTTCTGCAGGGGTCTGTTTTGGAACTTGTTCTTTTCAAAAGCAAACATGATTTTGGGATGCATTAACAGGAGTGTTCTGAGCAAGACACGAGAAGTCATTCTTCTGCTCTACTCTTCACTGATTAGGCCTCAGTTGGAGTATTGTGTCCAGTTCTGGGCACCACATTTCAAGAAAGATGTGGAGAAATTGGAGAGGGTCCAGAGAAGAGCAACAAGAATGATTAAAGGTTTAGAGAACATGACCTATGAAGGAAAACTGAAAGAACTGGGCTTGTTTAGTTTGGAAAGGAGAAGACATGCTAGCAGTTTTCACATATCTAAATGGGTGTCACAAGGAAGAGGGAGGAAAAAATTGTTCTCCTTGGCCTCTGAGGATAGGACAAGAAGCAATGGGCTTAAACTGCAGCATGGGAGGTTTAGGTTGGACATTAGGGCAAACTTCCTAACTGTCAGGGTAGTTTAAACACTGGAGTAAATTGCCTAGGGAGCTTGTGGAATCTCCATCACTGGAGATATTTAAGAGCAGGTTGTTTAGACATCTATCAGGGATGGCTTAAATGGTACTGGGTCCTGCCATGAGGGCAGGGTACTGGACTTGACCTCTTGAGTGTTCTATGATTCTATGGAGGGGGTGCGGGGTCTGGGATGGAGGATGGGTGCAGAAGGGAGCTTGGGGTAGGAGACTGGGGTTCAGGAGGGGGTGTGAAGACTGAGGGCATTTGGGTAAAAGAGGGGGTTGTGATGTGGTGTAGGGTCCAGGAGGGGGCAAGGGGGCAGGAATTGTGACCTGGAAGAAGGGGGTACAAAGAATTTGGATCTGTCTCAGTGTCTCCATTTCAGTATCCCAACTTTCTTCATTGGATGCCTGTGCTCTTCCACACAACATATGTATTGTCAAGAGCAGCTCTATTGTCTGAATCAAGTCTTGTTGTCAAGTTTCAAATCTTATCTAAAAACCCCTTTTCCTATGGCTCTTAATTCTTATATCGATGCCCTCCTCCTACATTTGAACTGTTACTGTATGTGGTTCTAGCCTTCAGGACGCTGAATAATACGGAATGTGCTGTACTGGCAACATCTACTGTTTGCCAAGTGTTGTCCCATTGGCATTCATAGGTAACTCTTATCTACAGGTCTGTGCCTACTGCCGTAAGCAGATGGTCTTTCTGTGGCCTTACATGTGTCATCTCTGTAGCAGGTAAGCTGATGTAGAAAGATTTTATGGGGCCAAAGAAAGGATGATAAACTATTTTCAAGTGCCAATTGCAACACTCAGTGGAACAAACGTAGCTCTCTAGCTTTGCCTGCATAGTTGAGCACTATTGTAACTTTTTGTTATGGTTGTGGGTAAAGGGAAGATGGTCACCTTTGTAGTGTCTTAGTTGTATTACTTGTTCCCCCTATGCTAGAGACAGTCCTCCGCTGCAAAGGTGGAACCTGATTGTCCCCAAAGTCCTGGGTCAGAGGGTGGCTTGGTTCTAGATCAGGCTTTTAGGCAAATGCACCAAGTCAGGATCTTATGGATGAATGATGAAATTCTGTGACTGCTTCAGTAACTTGGAGCATGTAGTAACCCCTCTGCTTGCACATAAACTGAAAGGTTTGTTCCTGGGGGAAACAAATCAGGGGCCTGTGACAGACTTAGTCGTTTCAACTAAATTTGAGGCAGAAGTAGTTTATTCAGTATGGGTAATTCATCACTGATCAAATACCTGGGCTATACTGCCATGTGCTTCTGCGCAAGAGCATCCATGGCAGTGTGGATGCTCTCTTGCGCAAGAAAGCTCTGATGGCCATTTTAGCCATAGGGCTTTCTTGTGCAAGAAACCCCCACCACGCGTTCACGCTGCCCTCTTGCATAAGAGACCTTACACTTGTTAGAAAAGAGCATAGCTCTTGTGCAAGAACCCCACGCTTTACTGTAAATCTTCTTGTGCAAGAGCCAGCGGGCAGTATGGAGACACTGCATAAGCACGGCGTTCTTGCACAAGAACCCGCCAGTGAAGACATAGGTCCTATCTTTTGGTGACCCAGTCAGACAGCACTAGTACTGAATTGTGAATATTAAGTATGTGTGGCTGACAATGAATAGTTTGATAGGGTGGAGCTTTTTCACCCGAGATCACTTTAGTGACCAGTGAATGGGAAAGTTCTAACTGAGGCCAGGTGAACAGTCATAATTCCAAATGATGCCTCTGAGCTTATTTGGAAGACCCATCTTAGCCTACAGTATTGGGAACTCCCAAACTCCATTCAAATAACAACACTGGTTGGTTTTTTTTGTTTTTGTTTCCCCCTTAGTGTCATCTGCTGTGATTGCTGTGTTAAGGTATGTCCTTTACTCTGGACCATAGCCTAACTGATTAATTTCTGTCCTGAGTGCCCTTCCATATGTCTTAACTGGACAATGTATCTTAAACCACTTTCTTGGTAGCTTCTGGAAGAAGCTGTCTCAAGATTCCAAACCAGTAAAAAATATATATATATATATATGATACACCCAAAAGTATAGGCAATTTCATGGTCCGAATGATAAAGTACCAGATGGAAAACATTTTCTGTTTTCTAGTCAAAGCTTGACCATCAATTTGCTGTGACATTTCACATTTAATTTCCCCCCCCCCCCCCCTC